GGCGTGAACCACCGCGCCCAGCCAGCAGAATTTTTTTTTTAAATATAAGACTTCAGAAATTGCACAGGATGAATTAACTTCAATAAATGTTATGACTGTTATCATTACGGATACTTATAAATTCAACTAAATATATTATGTACAAGGCGTTATGCCAGGAATAGCAAGGAAGCAGAAAGATGATCAAGTCCCTAGTCAAGGAACATGCCGTTTACCAGGGGGAAAACAACACAAATAACTGTACTCCAAGCCAGAAGAGTTCTCCAAGTGACTTGGGTCTGCGTGTCTTCAACTGCATAACCAGCTTAAGAAGCCACTCAGATTTTTGCAAACATTGGGGGACAAGGAAGAAAGGAAATACTCAAGCAGTAGATCATTCAAGCAGCAGAAATGTACACACCTTCAGTAAGTTTACAATTACTATAAGGCAGATTATAATCAAGTACCAAATGATGGCAAAGAGATACTGCAGAAGTTTGAGGCAAAGAGCTAATCACTGTGAGGGGAACAGAGACGGAGGAGCTTATTAAGTGGCAGAACTTGAGGTATGCCATCCATACTGAGTAGGTAAAAGAAGAGGAAGTACTTAGTTCACCACTGGTCTTTAAAATGTGTTTGTGTTCACCTTGGGTGGATAAAGGCGAGGTGAGAGACAAAGTAGGGCTGCGAGCTCTCACTAACAATTAAAACACAGATCTTGACCAGACCGGGTGGCTCATGCCTCTAATCCCAGCACTTTGGGAGGTTGAGGTAGGCAGACTGCTTGAGCCCAGAAGCATGAGACCAGCCTGGACAACATGGTAAAAGTGTCTCTACCGAAAAAACAACAAAAAACTTCCAAAAAACAAAAATTAGCCAGGCGTGCTGAAGCATGCCTGTAATCACAGCTACTCAGGAAGCTGAGGTGGAAGGATCACTTTAGCCCAGGAGGTGAAGGTTGTAGTGAGCTGAGACAGCACCACTGCATTCCAGCCTGGGAGACAGAGCAAGACCGTCTCACAAAAAAAAAAAAAAAAAAAAAAAAAAAAGACCCACAGATCTTTAAACATTTAGTCTGAATTTAAAAGGTATTATTAAAAACACATTGCTACAACCAAAACTAAGTGAGATATCACACACACAGAAACCTAAGTGAGCGTGACAAACAAAAGAATATAGTATGTAATGGCTATATCCAGACAACACGGGTACAACCATAAAAGGGCCATATATGCCAAAACATTTAGCTTAGCTGTGGTCAGTCTGATCGTATTGTTATTTTGAAACTGTTGTGTGTATGATGTGGAGTAGAATAAATGAGTATCTGGGGGATACTAAAACATTATTGGTGCCTGGGCGCAGTGGCTCACGCCTGTAATTCCAGCACCTTGGAATGCCGAGGAGGACGGATCACCTGAACCAGGAGTTTGAGACCAGCCTGGCCAACATGGTGAAACCCCGTTTCTACTAAAAACATCAAAAAAAAAAAAAAAATTAGCCTGGTGTGGTGGTGTGCCTGTAATCCCAGCTATTCGGGAGGCTGAGGCAGGAGAATCGATTGAACCCAGGAGGCGGAGGTTGCAGTGAGCCGAGATTGCGCCATTGCACTTCAGGCTAGGTAACAAGAGCAAGACTCTGCCTCAAAAAAAAAAAAAAAAAGGCCAGGCGCAGTGGCTCACACCTGTAACCCCAGTACTTTAGGAGGCCGAGGCAGGTGGATCATGAGGTCAGGAGATCGAGACCATCCTGGCTAACACGGTGAAACCCCATCTCTACTAAACATACAAAAAAAATTAGCCGGGCGTGGTGGTGGCGCCTGTAGTCCCAGCTACTCAGGAGGCTGAGGCAGGAGAATTGAGTAACCCAGGAGGCGGAGCTTGCAGTGAGCCGAGATCGTGCCATATATATATATATTTTTTTTTTAAATGTCTTGACAACATAACTGAAGATATTATGAAATATTACATAATGAAAGTTGAAAATGCTGCCAAAGAAACACATCAAAATGAAATTTTACTCTATCACAAAAGCAAAAGAGAAATTTTGGTGTCCGTGAAATTTACTAAACTCAAGAAAAGCAAAAGCTACCCTAGACTTGACCAATTATTGCCTCAAACCAATGTTATGTGCCAATCACTTGATAGGATGTGCTGTATAAAAACCAACTTGACTCAATCACATCAGGAATGTTATATTAACTTGCCCAGCTTGCCCTAATGCGGACTTGGCAGCTAACATAATAGCTAACATTTACTGAGCACTTAGCAAGTGCCAGACTTAATGCTAAATATTCAAATGCTTCATCTCACTCATCAACTCAGGTAACCCACTCCTGAGTTGAGGAGTTCCAGATGTGAGAACTCCCCTAAAATGACCGACCTCAAGACATCAAATCACCAGGTGGCACTAGGGGCTGTCAGGCCTCCCAACCAGCACTCTAACAAATTTATGTCAGACTGTCTCCTCTTTCACTAATTTATCCAAGCCTCTCTAAAACTTGGGTAATTTTTTATAACTTATTACTAATAACTCATTTGCTCAGTCATTCAAATTGTTATTAAAGCCCTTTTTCTATGCCAGGCACTGTCCTTGGGACTGAGGAAGAGGTGGTAAGACTCAGACCCTGCCCTCAGGCAGTTTCTAGTCAGTGAGAGACACAGATATTAATTATTCTAGAGCTGAGATATGACAACAAACAAGTTAACAATAAATATAACAAACTGATTACAATTGTGATCAGCACTCTAAGAGTACTAGGAGAATAGAAATCTCCCCTAGACTGACAGGTCAGAAAAGGCCTCTCTGGGGAAGAGACCATTTGATACTGGCAAGGAAGGAGATACTTGAAAAGAGAAAAGAGAAAAGGTCATGTTGCTAGGACAGGCTTTCTCACACTAAGATCAGGACGATGAGAGAAATATAAAAATTAATTCAAGTCATAAACAACATTAAAAAAAAAAGAAATAGAATAGAAAACATCAAAGTGCATCCCATGAAGTAGCGGTTAGTATCTTTCTCTGAACTTTATTTCAGTTATTTATTTGTGTGCAGGTAGTGGTGTACCGGGTGGTAGTTGCGTGTTTGTTTTTAACAGTGGGTCTGGATAACTAAAATAAAAAGACGGGCTCAAGATGAGTACACAGAGGTTCCAGCAGAAGTGGACCTTGCAGACTATGGTAAGTTTTTTTGTCTGTTTTTTTTAACTTCACTCTAAAGATAGCGGGAAATGATTAAAGGGGGGAGCAATGACAATTTTTTAAAAAAATTACTCTGGCTACAATGTGGCAGAACAGATTGAAGAAGTTGATTGGAGTAGTTTTCATCTAAAACAAGAAAGACAGCTGGTTAAAAATCTGACAAGAATCAGAAGTACTTTCGTAAGAATGTTAAGGATCAAGAGAGCAAGACTCAATACCTAAAACAGAGCCCTGCACATGGGAATCTGTCCAATAAATATTTGTTCCATGAATGATAATAGCCTGAGCAGGGTGGTGGAACTGGAAATAAAGACAAACGGAAATGGCAGAAGTAAAATTATTAGGACCCGCTGTTGAGCGAGTAGAGTAAGAATAACGGAGGTACGGATGAAAATTCAAATTTCTGAATTTGACTGTGTAGCCTGTGATTCCTCCTCCCTCCCTTTTTAAACTGCAGGTCATGCTTAAGTTTTTGCCTTTTAAATCTACAGCCGCATCTTCTAAGCTTCAGGAAGTATCTTGTTGACAGTGTGCACGCTCCTTAACTTTATGAACCCCTCCACCTTTATCTTTTAAAAAAATTGAGTTCTAAAGCTTAAATCTCTCATTAAAATAAATGTCTCACCACTTTGTCTCTTTCTGGACAGTTATGTTTTTGTCGCCACCTGGACTAATGGGTTGCACAAAAACGAGGAACATGCTACCTACGTTTTGTAATTTAAGTAAAAGACAATGTTGAGTGATTACAACACAACATTCTTGCGTCAGATATACTAATCTGCACATACTGCACAAAATTACCACTAAAAAAACACTGCAAATAAGTGTGTGTTGTTGTTGTTGTTTTAACAAAAACAGATGAGGTCCCATGTGGCACAGAAGCTTGAAAAGCTGGTTAAAAGCAACCACAAAGTTATTAAAACACCGTAATATCCAAAACCGCAAATGCTGCAATGAAATTGGAATTATCTACCATAAAACTCCACATGCTATAATTTCATTCATTCATTCAACGTTCATTCTACGCCTAAGACTGACGCATCGCTAAAGCTCCGGGGAAGACCCCCAGGCCCCTCCACGCAGTCAAGACCCCACTAGGTCCAAACAATGCCTGAGCTATACGTGGATTCTGGAAACCTCACGGCACAAAACCCATCCCGCCCTCCACTTCACCAGGCCGCGCTGGGCCCGGGTACCGCGGCGAGCGAGAGGCCTACGACGCCGGGCGGCTAGATTTAAGTGCTTCTCTCCAGCCTCACCGGGAAGGAAACCAGCAGGAAGAGAGAGGACGCGGACACGAGGGGAGCTTTGCGGGGGTGGGGCTCGGGGGGGAATCCGGCCCAGGAAGGCGAGAAAGTGCGGTTACCTAGACGCTCCCGTTCCGAAGGAGAAACCGCCGCCCGTGCCGGTCCCGCCTGCGGCCACGGTGGTGGAGCCCAGAGTCCCGGACCCGAAGGAGAACCCTGTGGACATGTCTGCCCGGGGCTCGACGCCGTCAGCAAGAGGAAAGGGCTCTGGGACACTGCTCTCGCCTCAAAGCCGAGGCGGGCCGGGGAACATCTCTCTCGCCCGGCACCGACCTGGCGGGAACTTCCAGCCCCAACGGCGGCGAAGGTAAGGCTGAGGGGGTGGAGCAATCACGTAAAAGTACGCCCGTCGCTCGCCGCGCGCACGTAGCCCGCCGGAAGTGAAACCGCCGCGCAGGGAGCCCTGGGACGCGAGTTGGGGGGCGGGGGGAGTCGACGAGCCGCGCAAGGCACGCCGGGACCGGGTGGGATTGGCGCACGGCCCAATCTCTTAAAGGAGTAGGCTCCCAGAGTTTAAAAACAGCGAAACCATTTCTGTCATTTTTTAGTTCTTCTATCGTAGCATCCGTACTGACATAATCTGCACATTAGAGTGATGAATGTCAATTACTGCTCATATGTAGCCTCCTGCCAAAAATGATGCTCAGAATCGGGGAGGTCCCTCCTGAGCATCTCCTAGCTCCCCACACAGAAAAGGAGGCGGCTTCGGGCCTTCGTTGGCTGCCGCCCCATCATCTCTAAGAAGGAAGGGGAGCGTGTCTGCCTCCTGAAGGTTCGGAAATCAATCGAAAATAATCCATGCAACCGTCCGACGTCGGGAGCCCCACCCCTGCGCCTCAGGCCAGCTGGACGCCGTTCCTGCGAGCCCGACGCGCGGCCCTGAAGTGGGCCCAGGAGAGCGTCCTCGGCGTCCGTGGGGTGGCCGGCTGTGGTCCTGACGCCCACAAGTGGCCAGGCCCGCGGGATTTCCTGGCATGCGGTCAAGTCCGCAAACGCCGTCCGCGCATCCTGATGCGGGAGGGCGGGACCTTGGGCCGAGCGCGGGTGGCTGCGCCGGAAGCGCGGTGCGGGGCTGTAGGGCGCGCGGACACACCGCGTGCTGCAGGCACCGTGAAGTGGAAGGGTTAGGAAACGCACAGGAACGTGTACGAGAGAAGGCGAGATGTGGAGGGGAACTCACATTTCTAGGGTAACTCAAGAAAAATTCGCGTTTAAAGAGAACCTCTCTGGCGAAGCGTCAGGAAGGGCTTCCTGGTGGTGGTGCATTCGAGGGTGGTTGTCATAGTGTTCGTTTTTATTTTTCCCTCAGGAATTGTTATATTACCCCCCCAAATGGTGTTCGCACTCGTGATCTCTAACAAAATCCATCCCATAAGCAACCCCCGGATTTATGATCTAAAAAGCCCAGTGGCTTTTTAGTCTGGCACTTGATGACCTCCGTATGAGGAGTCTTTCTAACCTCATCTCACAGCTCTCTGTAATTCAGTACTTTAATCTTGCGTTGAGCTTGGGCATTGCCACCAGCTGTGGACGGAACTATTTCCCTCCTCCCCCAATCCGTATGTTAAAGCCCCGCCCCACCCCGATATGTTGGTATTTGGAGATGGAGCCTTTGGGAGGTAATTCAATTTATATGAGGTCACGCGGGTGGGTCCCCCATGGCGGGATTAGTGCCCTTAAGAAAAAAAACAACAAAGAGCTTGTTCTCCTCTGTGTGCCACGTGAGGACAGAGCAAGAAGGGGCTTTCACCTGGAACCCAAACTGCCCCATCTTTATCTGGGACTTAGTCTCCGGAATTGAAAGAAGTAAATGTTGTTATAGCCACCTCAGTCTATGGTATTTTGTTACATCAGCCAAGCAGACTAATACACCACCTCTGTGTTTGTGTAATTAAAAAGAAACATGTACTTTTTATTTTATCTATTTTTTAATTTAATTTATTATTTTTTAAATTTATACTATATTTTGAGATGGAGTCTCGCTTTGTTGCCCGGGCTGGAATACAATGGCCTATCACCGCAACCTCTGCCTCCTGAGTTCAAGCGATTCTCCTGCCTCAGCCTCCCAAGTAACTGGGATCACAGGTGCACACCACCATGCCCGGTTAATTTCTGTATTTTTTAGTAGAGATGGGGTTTCACCATGTTGGCCAGGCTGGTCTCGAACTCCTGGCCTCGAGGGATCTGCCCACCTCGGCCTCCCAAAGTGCTGGAATTACAGGCGTGAGCCACCGCTCATGGCCGTAACATTTTAAACATCGTGGAGGTCATAATGGGAATGATAAAAAAGAAAAAAAGGGATATATTTGGATTAAGATATAAATAAAAACTTCATAGTTATCCAACAGGAGGCAAAAATAAAAGATTGTTGTGAGTTTTAAAAGCTTCAGTGATATAGAGAAGGCTATTTTCAGTAATGGCTATAGGGTGGTCAGTAAGAGGATTGTTCACATAAAGTCTTCCTTTTGACTGAAAAAAAAAAGATCCACATGATTTTTATGGGAAGATAGAAAGGCACTCCCTATGTCTTTTGATTTTCTCGTGTATTCTTTCCAAAACTTTTGAAGAATACCATCCTACAATTAGTAATAGCAAAATGGCTGGCACTTAAGAAATATATATTAATGAACAAGACTTGTAATATTCGCAGGAAGGAAAGAGCATGTAAAAATATAGGAACTAATATGTTCATAATAGGGGAAACTGGGTGTGAGGAATATGAATACTCTCTTTATGTAATTAATAATTCTGTAAATCTATAACTTTTTTTTTTTGGACGGAGTCTCTGTCACCAGGCTGGAGTGCAGTGGCTAGATCCTGGCTCACTGCAACCTCCAACTTCCTGGTTCAAGCAAGTCTCCTGCCTCAGCCTCCTAAGTAGCTGAGATTACAGGCACATGCCACCGTGCCCAGCTAATTTTTGTATTTTTAGTAGATGGGGTTTCACCATGTTGGCCAGGATGGTCTCAATCTCCTGACCTCATGATCTGCCTGCCTTGGCCTCCCAAAGTACTGGGATTACAGGCGTGAGCCACCAGGCCCAGCCACATCTATAACTGTTTTAAAGCTAAACGTTTATAAAAGAAATAAAGGAAATCTGACTTAAAGTTTGGGTTTTGGGGGAAGCCATTCCAATTAACAAGCAAACTATCTTTTCAACTTTGTTTTATCAAAATTTTAGTGTAGCATTTCTTGCCTTGTATCTGACAGAATAGTTTTAAGTTATGCTGCAGTAATAAATCCCCAAATCACTCAAGGAGGGGCACTGCAGAGAGAAAATCTGGAATATCTGATGAGCAGTATTGCAATCTACCACTAGATGCACCAAGTATAAGACTAGATCTCAGAGATCCCTTCTCTTTTTTTTTTTTTTTTTGAGACAGAGTCTGGCTCTGTCGCCCAGGCTGGAGTGCAGTGACCGGATCTCAGCTCACTGCAAGCTCCGCCTCCCGGGTTCCCGCCATTCTCCTAGCTGGGACTACAGGCGCCCGCCACCACACCCGGCTAGTTTTTTGTATTTTTTTAGTAGAGACGGGGTTTCACCGTGTTAGCCAGGATGGTCTCCATCTCCTGACCTCGTGATCCGCCCGTCTCGGGCTCCCAAAGTGCTGGGATTACAGGCTTGAGCCACCGCGCCCGGCCAGAGATCCCTTCTCATCTCATATACCTTGTACTGCTTGTCCTATTAGTGAAGAAAGAAATTACATCCTTACATTCTACCGAAATGAAACTCCAAAGAAAGCAGTTTTCAATAAGCTCAATGGTTTGGTTAGTGAACTGAAAACAGTAAAATAGCAGTAACTGAGCATTATGCATACATAAGCCTGAATCCTATCTGCAACCGAGCAGAACCATGGAGCACTGGAATCTGGCTTCACCCTGACCTAGTCTAGGTAGAGTAACAAACCCATCCCAAAGGATCTTCCAGATAGTACTCTTTTCAACATTAGAGGACTTGAACCTATGTGTCAGTTCTGTGTGAATTGCTGCTTCCAAGGATGAAGCAAGTGCTTCAGATTCTAAATTCTAGAGCAGGCCATTTTTTCTTTCCTTGCTTCTTACATTGTAAGCATTCTGTTAGAGAACTCCATCTTTTGCTGATTTGCCAGCAGGATGATGACATTGTTAATGTCATAATCAAACTGAATTATCCAAACAGAAATAGCGCTGTAAAAAATTTTCTTTTTTTCTTTTTTTTTTTTCTCCTTTTTGAGACACGGTCTTGCTCTGTGCCCAGGCTGGAGTGCAGTGGCACCATCTTGGCTCACTGCAACCTCTGCCTCTCTAACTCAAGTGATCCTCCCACCTCAACCACCTGAGTAGCTAGGACCACATACAGGTGTGCACCACCATGCCCGGCTAATTTGTTTATTTGTAAAGATGGGTTTTCGCCATGTTGCCCAGGCTAAAACTTCTAATTTGTGTTTGCATTAATATATCTAAAATAGGTTTGCTTTGGTGGGGGTGTTCAGATCAGGATAACCATTTGAGAACCTCTCTCAGCAGAGGTTCTAACACATAAAGGAAGTGGGAATCTGAAGTCTATTGAAAGGAGTCTGTAATATCTCTAGTTCTGGTCCTCTGAAATATCCAGAAGAGAGGTTATCTTTTAGAAATTACATGTAACCATTTGCCTTCAATCACAGTCTTTATCTTGAAAATTATTCTCAGAAAAGGTCTTAAATATTTTAGGGTTTTAAATATTTAAGTAGTGTCCTTCCACTTTAAAAATTCATTAAATTCTCAAGTGATTCAACAACCACCACCACCAAATGTATATAGAGAAATAAATCAATAATGCAAGTTATGGGATGATGGTCAAAACAAGGTATATGGGTGTTCATTATAATAATTTTACAACCTTTCTGTAGGTTTGAAATTTTCAAACTAAAAAGTTAAGGGTGAAAAGCTTAAAGCTAAAACAAAAGTTCCCAATCACAGGTCAGAACAGTAATGGTCTATTTCCTGACTATTTTTTTCACTCATCACCCAAGAAATGAGAAAAATAAATGTAAGGAGTTATCCATAAAGCTAAATGTATTTAATTCAAACGATAGTCATTTATTTTGAGATACACCCTTCCTATTGGCAGAGATGGGACCTGAAAAAGTTGCTTTTATGACTTGACGACTGTAGTGGATAAGGAAGACCGAGAAGAGAAACTAAGCAATGTCAACATAAGATAAACGATGGAAGCTATCTTCTGGCCACCAATATTTATTCTTTCCTTCCTTCTCCCTTAAAACCTCAGTTTTCTCCAGATAAACAACTATATGTCTCCATCTTCCTTTACAGGTAGAGGTGGGTGGGAAACATGAGATGAGACTTCCAGGATCACTCATTTTCTTGGGGACAGATAGCTGGCATACATCTGTTTCTACTTTCTTCTCCTTTCTTCCTGCTGCCTGGAACTTAGACACAATGGCTGGATCTCCAATAGCCATCTTGGTCCATGAGTGACTTTAAGAATGGAAGTCATATGCAAATGAGGGTATCACAAAAAAATAGCATGAACTTAGGTCCCTGATGGTATACTATAGAGACATCATGCCAACCCTATACTACCTACCTTCAGATTTCTTTTAAATGAGAGAAAAGTCAATTTCTATGTTATTTAGTCCATTAGAGCTGAATCTGTATTATTCATAACTAAATGTAGTATACCTTTTTAGTAGGTGTTCACCCCAAAAGATGAATTTTACATGTGTTACTGAGGAAAACTAGGAAATATCCAAGATTGGCAAAGGTCAATAGTATATATAGGACTGGAATATAACAATAAAAATGCCACCAGTGACCTATTATCTAATTGCCTTGAAACATGCCAAAAGAAAGGCAGTGGTCAACATGTAGTCTCAAAAAAATGGGAGCCAAAGAGGAACAATATATCTGCATTTATTGCTCTCACCTTTCATGGAAACAAGTCATTGTGCTTGATGGATACACATATTCTGTCACTAGAGAGATGTCCACCTCCATGAAGCAGGAGTACATTCATGTCTTTTCCATCTCATGGATAAAAGTTCCCTAAGCCTGCCCAATTCCCGTTGCTCTGAGCAGTTTTCCCATAATCTAATTAGACCTCTTTTATTGCAAAGAATAGGAACTCTCTCAAGGTAGTTCAAGCACAAGTGTGTGCATATATGGTGGAGGTGTGAGAACACAGAGTTATTGTACAGACACAGACAAGTTTCTAGAAAAAATGGGAGTAGCCAAGCCTTGTGTATATCAGAAACCAAGAGCCAGCTTATAAGAAATGAAGTAGAGAGAGCTGCACCTACTTCAGGGAATTGAGGCGTTCTGCAAGCCCCAGAGGTTAGATGAAGGGTTAAGTAATTGACCAAGTTGCCCAGGGGAGAAAGAAGAGGCATTCAGGCATCTGCTGCACACAAATCAGTGATGCCAGATTATAAAAGGTTTTATCAAGTAAGACCTGATGCTCGGGGAGCCAAAACAGCAGCTAAAAAGCAAGCAGGAAGGAAGTGGGCCAAGATAGTCAAAACAGATTCTCCTACCCCGTCCCACCTCCATCCCACTGTCATCAAACCTGGGTGGTATAGGGAAAAGGAGAAGCTTTGAACTGGATACATTTTGATGAATATACATCGGATTATTCTAAAATACAAGAGAAACAGGTACTTCTCCAGGATCAGCTCAAGCTCCTGTTGAGGAGAGGTGAAGAGACAGCCAACAAAGCAGGCTTGAGGGGTGGTGGTGGAGCAAAAGAAAGATACTGTCTGCTCGCACCCCACAGAACCCAGTGTTCAATAAAGTGGTCATGTAGAATACAGCATGACTAACCACTGTATCGGCAGTATTTGCACT